CGCCAGATATACATTCACCCAGAGGATCAAGAATTCCAAAGGATACTTTTCCGCAGAACCCCTCAAAGTTCGGTACAAGATTTTAAATTAAAAACTGTTACCTTTGGTGTCAATTGCGCGCCATACCTCGCGATAAGAACGCTTCACCAACTAGCTAAAGACTCAAGCATCAAATACCCAAAAGCCACAGAAATACTGTTAAATGAAATATACGTTGACGATATACTCTCTGGGGGTCACGACCTCGACTCGAAAAATGACTGCGAACCACAAATATCTACTCAAAATATACCCAAACCACACCTCTTAGAAACAAACTTTCTCAAATTCCATGATTCCAGTTCAACCAAAACTCTCGGCGTAACATGGAATGCACTCAACGATGAATTCTCATACTCTATTGACCCCCCTGCCAGACTCCACAGCAGCCACTAAAAGACAGATTTTGTCCTCCGTGGCGAAACTTTTCGACCCGGCAGGGTGGCTATCGCCAATGATGATCCAGGCGAAAATCTTACTCCAACAACTCTGGATGGAAGGTACCGATTGGGACGAGAACGTCAAACCCGGAGCGCTTCGCAAGTGGACTTCATTTCGAGAAAACCTCATAGCCATCAGCGAAATACGGATACCGCGATGGGTTCAGTTTTCCCCTAATAAAACCATTCAGCTCCATGGATTCTCAGACGCATCCGAAAAAGCATTCTGCGCATGCGTTTATCTCCGAGTGGAACACTGTGAAAACTCGGCATCATCTCATTTGCTCGTAGAAAAAAGTAAAGTCGCACCCCTCCAAACAGTGAGTCTGCCTCGCTTGGAACTGTGTGGAGCGGTCCTTCTCTCCAAACTTGTGAAGCATATTCGATCCCAACTTAATCTGCCGACCCATGAGCTCATACTCTGGTCAGACTCCTCTATCGTGCTGGCCTGGCTAGAAAAACCACCATGGACATGGAAGACATATGTGGCGAACCGAACTTCCCTCATCTTGCAGAATGTCAATAACGCCACATGGAGACACGTATCGAGCTTAGACAATCCCGCAGATTTAGGCACTCGAGGATGCAAGCCACAAGATCTAGCGTCATGTTCCCTATGGTGGAATGGCCCTCAGTGGCTCACCAAACCCTCAGCGAGCTGGCCAAAGAATGCGCCTCAAACGCTCTTTCCCCCTGAACAAAAATCTGTGGAATCTTATCACACAATAGAGAACGAAGACCCTCTCACTCGATTCTCGTCATTTCCTCGCGCCCTTAGGGTAATCGCTTACGTGTATCGGTTCATCCGCAGCGCACGAAAGGAACCAATACCCACGACGCACACACTCACCCAGGACGAAATCAGTTACGTCAAAACCCGGCTCATCATATGCGCCCAACACAATCATTACGCAGAGGCGGTCGCACAACTGGAAGCCGCGAAACCGGTAAATAAAAAAAGCTCGCTGCTATCGTTGAACCCCATGCTAGATAAAAGTGGCGTAATGCGTGTAAACGGCCGCCTTAAGCACGCCGTTCTCACCTACAATGAACGACACCCCATCATAATACCCGAAAACTCCAAGTTCCTTTCTCTCTTCATAGATTTTCTCCACACAACTCTACTCCACGCGGGAAAACAGCTCATGGTCCGGATGGTACAACAAGAGTATTACGTCCCAAGACTTAAGCAGAAAGTTAAAAAAATGCATTTTCCACTGCAAGGTGTGCACCATACACAAGCGAGAAATGCGATCGCAGATAATGGCGGCCTTGCCTCCAGTACGAGCAACCTACTCGCTACCATTTCACACCACGGGAATAGACTTCGCGGGCCCATTCCTGGTGAAAACCTCTTTACTGCGTCGCGCCTCACACACAAAAGGATATGTATGCGTGTTTGTCTGCTTTTTCACCAAAGCCATACATTTAGAACTCTGCTCAGACCTGACAATAGAAGCCTTCAAGGCCTGCTTTTCCAGATTCGTTGGTCGACGTGGTCTCCCCCATAAAATCATGTCGGACAACGGGAAAACTTTCGTAGGCGCTCAAAGGTCAATCCACCGAGAACTTTCCACTTTTCTTAAGGAAGCCGCCTCAGATATCGCTGGAAAATACACCGTACATGGCCTCTCCTGGCAATTTATACCACCATACGCTCCTCATATGGGAGGCCTGTGGGAAGCAGCGGTTAAAAGTTTTAAGACGCACTTCAACAAAGTCGCGGGGAATCACAAATTCACGTTTGAAGAATTCACCACACTGCTGATACGAATCGAAGCGGTACTCAATTCCAGACCGCTGTCGCCTTTGTCTCAAGATCCTAGCGATTTACAGCCCCTTACTCCCGGTCACTTCTTAAGAGGAGCACCACTTGTCTCTCTGCCAGAACCTAACGCAGAAAACCTGTATCTTCCAAACAAGTGGCAGAAGCTCAAGGTACTTCACCATCAATTCAGCACCCGATGGAAAACTGAATATTTGCAAGAGCTACACAAACGGCATAAGTGGAAAGGCAAAGAACCCAATATCGCAGTGGAAGACCTCGTCGTCATCAAAGAAGACAGCCTCCCACCAAATGATTGGCGCCTCGGACGTATTGTTAAGCTCTATCCCGGTCCCGACCAAAACGTTCGCGTGGCTGACATCCGTACCCAAAAGGGAATTATAACACGCAACATCGCAAAATTATGCTTGTTACCACCTCCACCCAGCACAATGGATGCTTAACGCATCAAACTTTATTCAAAATTCTCTTTTCTTTATACCTCAATATACAGACTCTGTGGTTAACCACAGAACATTTTCACTCCCATTCCCTCCGTATTTACGCAAAAAAACTAATGTTTGGTTTCAAATTTAATTTCTTCATAGGACAAGTGAAGCATCCATGGAGCTCAGCAAATGTCGCCTTTGTTGCCGCCCCCATTCATTGCGCTACTGTAAAGCTTTTCTCGGCTGAAAGGCATGAGTCAGCCCGAGTACTTAAATATTATGTAAACTGCCTGGCTACCTCCCATGTCACCGGTGCCTGTGACTCTCCAGCCAGCTGTCATCAGTGTGGTAGGGCGCACCACACGCTGCTACATCGAACGCTGGCGAAGTCGTCAACGATCCGACGTAGGGAGAGGACTCGCTATGCTAGCCGTCGGACAATCCGGCGTACTCGAGGTCTGCAAAGTCCCACCGCTGCCCGGAGTCGTAAAATGCGTGAGCTGCTCAATAAAGCGCAAGACATCATCAACCAGCTGAAGGAGCTAGTATCCGCTTCTACGCGGCCGGCCGGGCGTGATGTCGAAGACATGGATGATGATAAATAATTAGCTAACCTTTATCTTATAAATATATTTGAAATGTAATAGAATTACTTATAATGAATTTACATGAAGAATTAGTCACCCTTTACTTTATATACATATTTGAAATGTAATAGAATTACTTAATTCGAAACTGAACATACTCACTATCCTTATATATATATATATGTTTAAAACTGTACTAGAATTCAAATATGTACTTTTTCCGAATGTGAGCTCTCGGCACCCGTACACCGGCAACGGAGCACTCGCAATCGAATCGTCGACTAGACCAGTTTATTAAATTCA